CCCCAAAACCCCAAAACCCCAAAACCCCGTGGGAAGTTGGGAAAATTGAAGTGGGAAATTTTAGAGTGAAGGTGAGAGGGGGTTTAGAGGGGAGAATCGGAGACAATGAATATTGCAAGATTGGACCACTTTTTCTTAATAAACTCTAAAGCAAGATTAAGAACCTTACCATAATCTGGTTCTGGGAGATATCAGTCCTTCAAAGTAAGGGAAACCAAGCCTCTTCCTTTATACTGAGCATGAGCTTGTCCTTCAGAAGATATTTTTGAAAGGATTTGGTTAATTTTAAACGTCATTAGAGCTTTAGAAAATGAGGGAAGTCTTGTCAGAAAAGATGCAAAATTTTCGTTATTATGATAAAGATCAGAATTTTTTAGTTCTTCACATTGTTGATTGTCTGAGCTAGATACAGAACATTCAATGAAGGAGAGGCCATACAGAGGTACTCTTTTTGGAGATCTTAGAGCTTTTTGTTTTGCGTCCTTTTCTTCTTTTAGATTTGATAGCTTCTGTTGTAAGAATTTATTAATATAGCTATTCCCCCGCATTTCATCCTGGGTAGTTGGATTCGGTGTTGAAAAAGACTTTCAAACAAATGAATCTTTTTCTAACAAACAAGAATTCTTTTGCTTTTCTTTGACTAAATTTGGTTCCTGAGAACTTTCAAACTCACAGTTATTTAAATTCAAGCATAATAGTGGAAGCACAAATAACTGTATCCAAAATTTCATTTAACTCTTCATCCTTGAAATAAAAATTCTGCAAAATAATAGTTTCAACATTCGAAAGATCTCACATCTTAATCAAGTCAATAAAATGACAAAACCCAGAATATTTAAAAAACTCTTCCTTCTCTTCTTGAACCTTTTCCCCTAACACAAATCACACCTCCTCTCACATATCCCCTATCACACCTCCCAATCACCTAAACTCAAAATCACACCTCAATCTTACCCATCCTCTTCCCCTCTCTCCCTCCCAAACACCCTCTCTTTGACCTCTTCCACTTCTTCTTCCCCCTCAACCAGCCCAAACACCATGTTCACCCTCCCTTTGTCCCTTCCAATCTCTACTGTATAACATCTCTCTGCTATATCTCCAGTGTCTTTTCCCAATTCTCTTCCTGGAGAAGTGCTCCTGAAAATATTCTTCAACAACTCCTCTGTTCTCTGCGCTGCCTTGTCTTCTTTGAAACCATCTACATTCCTCTTAACTTCCTGTTCAATCTCTTTTAAAATTGTATTATCGATCATATTTTCAGTCTTAGCCCTCTCTTCTTCAAATCCTTTCTTCAGCATTTTTATCTCTTCTCCATGTTCCAAGTCGAAGTCCTCTACCTTTTTCTCTTTTGTTCTTCCTAATGGAATGGCACCAAAACTCCATTTTCTGAACACGTTGACATTAGCATTTTCTCTTTCTCCCACAACTAAATTCTAAGATTAGAGGAAGAAGGAAATAGGGATTACGCTTGAAGTATTTATTGCGAGCTTCACTAGTTCTGACACATTGATCTTTAATATTTTTGAGTTTTAAAACTGTTTCTTTTATATTTTATCAATGTCTATATAATTTTCACATATTTCCTTAATAAACTCAAGATCTTCAGGAAGATGATCTGCACTGATCCAATCTCTTGTTTGCTTGATGTGAAAATCAATGTAGTATTTTTTGATTAATCAAAATTTTCTTGGACTGGTATCTTTTATCGATTTCTCCATTTATAATTAGCCTCAATTAAAATCTTTTAAAAAGGGGTTTTGGGGTTTTGGGGTTTTGGGG